ATGTGAAATCTCCTTATTTTTAAGCGTTGGCAATTGTTTTAAAAATCAGATCTCACATTGGACCAAAGCAGAAGCCTAACAGTGGGCTGAATCCAGAACACAGGAGTCCAGTTTTAATCCCTTGCTCTAAACTAAAAAATCGAAGTGTCTGTTTAAAAGATGACATGGGGTGGATGACGGAGAGAGGCAGGAAGACCTAAAACATTAAATTTGAAGCTTCAATCCTCTTGAAATGTCTCATCTCTTTCCAATCTAAAATATTACCCTTCTTGCTCCAGAACACAAAAATAAAATGAGTCAGGTGATTACAAAACTACAAAGGACAGAGAAAAAAAATACAACCACCACTCCACTCCCAAAGAGGCAGCCTTCCTGAACTCTTGTTTCTGCTGTAAATGATGCTGCTAAAGGCTCTTAGGTTTTTACTCCAACCCTCTTTGCATAATAGCACCAACAGTATATTCATCCTGGGATATGTGGCTCTTCCATCTTTCATATTTTAAATGTGAGGTAGTTTGTAGGTAGTTTGTGAGGTAGACCATTTGTCTCTCATCCTCCTTATCCCAGCTAAAACACAGATCACAAATGGTAAGAGAAAAAAATGTAACCACCACTGCACTCCCAAAATGCAACTTCCTAAACTCTTCACTGTTTCTGCCGTAAATGATGCTGCAAAGTTATTCAAATGTCATCTGTCACAAGGTCCCATTCCTTTTGAAATCTTTTTCCTCTTTGGAATTACAGTCAAAAGAATATCATTTCAGAGCATTTTGTTTTCTTGGTTCCTGAGATGTACTCATACCCAAGCCATTATATGTGATCATTATTTCTTAACATTTTGAAACATTCATGAAAAGCTAGAAAATCACTAATTCCAAGGCTGAAGACACTTAACATCAAATTCCATTAGTAATAAATAATCAAGCACCTAGCTTTGAAGTGCCTGATGCTATATAGCATAACAAAGGTCTGATCTCTATATCCTGCAGAAGAAGTGCTCAGTCCAGGCTGGAGAATTCCCTAACACACTTACATTCAAGGCAATCACAATACTCACTTTGCACTAAAATCCAAAAGCCTGTCAAGTCATCCTGTCAGCATTCAGAGGAACTCGAGTAAGAACTTAGGATTCAGTGTCCAATTAAAAATACTCTAGCTTCCGTTCTTCTTTAAAATCATGTTAGAAACACAGAGGTTGTTTGATGTGCCTTCTATGCTTTTGTTTTAGTTCAGTATTGAGTGTGTTAACAAGATACTACAGATTGAAAACCAAAGTCAGGCATCTCTTAAGTTTATTGGGAAATTCTTAATTGGGAGAGAAAGATCACAGACTTAAACAATTGGAAAAAGTAAAAGAACAATTGATTGCAAATTATCACAAAGGTAATTTCTGAAATGTTTATTTTTGAGCCACTGCAAAAACAAAATTTTAGTGCATCCTGAAGTTCATATTTTGATAAATGAAGAAATTACTGAAAAAGCAAAAGAAAAAAGTTAGTTATACAAGATCTTAACGGAATAATTCAGCACAGTCAAACAGCTATAATTATTCAAAGCTGCTTTTGCTTCATAGCTGGTATATTAAACAAGAATGTGAATTATTACTATTAACACTGCACAAGTAACAAAAGGTAGCAAATCCAGCAATATTAAAACCTGATATTAAACAGTGTTCAAACATTACAACAAAAAACAAAATAATGAACTTCTAGAACTATGATTCTACCCATGTGAAAGGAATGTACACGTATGATAAGAAAAAAATAAATAAATAAAGTGACAAGTGTGACCAACACTGCATCTGCATCTCCAGAGCAGGAATACGGTGAGTCAATGTATGCAGGGCCTCAAACAAGAGTGAGAAAAAACACATTTCACTTGAACACAGCTTTGTAATTCCCACGGGAGCTCTACTTCTCTTGTGCTGGTGACGGGTGGACAGAGTTTGAAATGGAAAGGATTTTCCATACACCCTGAATATGGATGCATTATTTTTCTTAATTCTGTGGAAAGTTTCCCTTAGAAAAAAAAAATTTAAAGCAACAGACTGATGGGAAATTGATCATTTTAATTGTGATAGAGTAATATTTACTAATCTGAATCTACTCCCTGGTAATGGGTCAAGGTTAAACACTGCATCTGGGGAATGTGCATGATGTTAAAACCACGTGGGTAAACCATCTTTTACTTTATACCTGGTGCACTTAATAACTAACTAACTTCTCCTACCAGCAAAATAAAACCTTTATTTAAGCAAAATGAAAGTATTATGAGTTGAATTAATTCATATCAAATATCTAAAAGGGTAAATGGAATGGTTGTCAAACTATGAAGATGTTATCACATATATTCACTAAGTAAATGTTCTCAAAGATTTTAAAACTCCATTAAACCATTAAACTGTGTTAAACCATCCCATAGATACTGTAATTTTCTTCTGTGATTTATAAAGGAATCATTCCTTCTGTGAAAATCAGGAAATAAATCAAAATCAAAATGAGTTAATACCTCAAATACAAATGGAATTTTAAACTTGGCTTGGAAAAAAAAGTTCCGTCTGAAACAATATTCTAAAAACCCCGTCCAAGTCCTCCTTCACTTTTTTTTCACAGTTCTTCAATGGTTCTGAAACTGATAAAACAGAAAATTCAACCCAAAGCACGTCACAACTTTAACAGTTCTGAATAAGATATGATATTTCATAAGGGCCAAAGTATGCAGAATGGCACTATTACAGTATCATAATAAAATTACATCAAATAGATTTTTAACAAAATAAGACAGAGTCATCCTCAACAAAGAGATCTGTTCTGAAGGATAAGCAACCAAATAGATCTACATCTTTGGAAAAATCACAAAGTGCCTTTAAACAAAGTAAGTTTAGACTGTTCTTGATTAAAGATACTAAACTCCAAAGTTCTCTCTCTATATAAGGAAGCTTAACTCCCGCTTCTTTTCACATTTGCCAACGTTTAACATTTTTCTCTACATCCCTGCACTGAACCAATACTTGTGGAGCTCCACTGTGATCAGTACTATACACGCTAGTGTCCAAGGACTGGTCTGCTGGGCCAAAGTGGTTGAACAGGGAACTCGGAATCCAGCACAGCTCCAGAAAACAAACAAAAACAAAGACAGGAGGAAAACCTTACCATACAGGAAATCAACATTTTCAAGTAGAGTTTTACAGAACATATTGTCATTTTAGCTTAAAAGAAATTCAGAACTGCTGTTAATAACACCCGTACACACACTAAAGATACCAAACACAATTTGATAGCTATACACTTGTAAAAATTCAACCTAAGCTTAATAATCAATTAATTTATGTTATATCAACCTGCTTCCTAACAATTAAGAACCTAGTCCAGTGCTGCTGCAGATCAAATTCTAAGAAGCTAAAGACAGACTCAATTCTGCTTACATACATTTCTCCAACCTTAAAAAATACCTGAAGAAACTTCAGAAAAATTTATTTTTAAGGCCTGTTCTATTTCTTCATCTTAAATTGAGAAAAATAGAAGCTTCTGTAAGTATAACCTCAAAACATTTAAATAGATTTTGGCATTTTTCTTAAGAAGCAATTATTTCTCTGCCATAACTATAATTCAAATCAATGCAAGTGCCCTGTTCCTTGTCCCCCGGCAGGTGCTACTGTCCTCGATACTTTGTGCAGCTTCCAGAAGAGTCAGTTCTCAGGAAAAAAAGAAAAAGTGAGAGCAAAACCAAAGCCTCCAACAAAAAAATGATTTCCTCTCAATTAAAAATCTGCTAATGCAAGAACCAAAAATTCACACGCACATACCCTCATATAAAACACAATCCTGGTCCTCTATTCAAGTCAACTCACAGTTACTAAAGACAAGTGGTACAAAATGCAGAGCCCAAGAAAGACCGTATCAGAGGACTTTACAAAATAGTAGATACATTTTACTGGGGAAGGGGTTGGTGGGAAAGTCCCATTTTTTCTAGAAAAAGCTTATCCCTGCTAAAGTGGAGTTTTAATTTTAAAATCCTTGCTAAAGGATTTTTTCAAAATCCCAACAGAGAAAACAATTATTGGGCTTCTCTAAATGCATTTCCAAATGAACATTAAGTTTTAAAATTTCAACATGTTTTGCACCTTTATTTTCACTTAAAGAATAAGTTCGGGACTCAAAATAGTCAAAAAAGAAAAATTTTTACTGCACAATCTTTGTAGACATTTTATTTTAAAGCACCTTTTTAATGTTAACAGTGGGCTTGTAACCAGAAAAGAGTGAAATAAAAGAGGGCACCCACCACTAGCAAGGTTAAAGTTCTCCTTTACACACACACACACACACACACACACACACTCACTCACTTTCATGCCAGAGCGATTGGCAACATTAGCAAATAAGATCATTTAATGAAAGGCTTGGGAAACTATCATTTATAGTATTTATAGAACCTAAACTACTGTTTATAAGAAATTAAAACAACTAGGGGGATTCAAAAAAATACCAATAGCTGAACCATGAAAATAAAATTGACCTTTAAAAATAGAAAAAGATGTCAGAAAAATAAATTAGCCTCAATGCTGTTTTTTCGATGTCAGATTTGTTATTAACAGGAAACCATTTGCTTGAAAAGGAGCAAAATTGTAACTCTTTATCCCTGGAACCCACCTTCCGCCACCGCAGTGCAATTTCTAGCAGCACTATTTGGACGCAAAAAGAATGCCGTCAGTCAATGTTCCTGAAAGTCTCAGTCAGCCCGTCCTTCAAATTCATGTTCTTAGGGTCTTAACACACTGCACATGTGTACAGAAGAATAAATGAAGATAATATTTGACAGATTACGAAAGTATGAACTATATACACCATATGATGACACAACACACTTAATAAGCGCTATTTACTTTCCTCCCAATTCACGTTGAATGTTTATATTCACTACTCAAATTTTACCCTATGCATCTTTATCTGTTTCTTCCTCTCCCAAAACAAATAATAAAATATACTGGTTTGGAGTTTGTTCTATGCATTTTCCAAGAGCCAATCAAACAGGGACTTGCATCTCTCCTCACTGGACATCTTCTCCATCACCTCATAGTATTTAAGTATGGCCTGCAGGAGGTCTCCCACCTTCCAGCCTTTTTCCTGTAGCCGTTTTGAAAGCTAGTAAAAAAGGAAGATAAGCCAAACATTAACCGAAAGCAATTTTTTAACAATAAAGTTTTCATTTTTATTTATAACACCGGATGAAACTGCTGTTTGCAGCAAAATACTTTCCCAGTTATAACAAGGTATTCTCCCCTAAACCGCCAGTCTTTACACAAATTAAACATTTTTCCTTCCTGGCTTTTATAAATACTCTCCTCCACAGAGTGACACTTTGGGATTGCAGGAGCCAGAACCCCACAAACCTCACTCAGCACAGTGTCTGTGTGGGCGTGGAGAGGCTCCATCTCTACAGGAAACTCTGAATTGAACTAAATACATCTGCCACACCCTCAACTGGTAACATAAAATAATAAAAACGATGTCAAGATTAATAAAAGGATGTGGATTTTCCTTCCACAACGTATAGTGTGGCTTTCTCCCCTGGAATACGCACTCCAGCCTCAACAGAAACACATAAGAAATGTTCATGTTTCAGAAAAAAAGTAAATAAATATTATGGCAATCATTTTGTAATATGTACAAATATCATTATGCTGTTCACCTGAAACTAATAAGGTGTTATATATCAATTATACCTCGTTTTTTTAAGTATAAAAATACAGGTTTAAATAAACTATCATCACTATTCTGAACATGTCTTCAACTCAGATTTTTTCCTATTTAGTTCTATAAAAACTAATTGTTTGTAATACAAATATGCTTAACCTTTTCAAAAATAGCTTTACTGTGATATAATTCACATACCACACAGTGCACCCATTTAAAACAGACCAGCTAATGCTTTTTAGTGAATTCACAGAGTTGAATCACCACAAACATTAGGATACCTTTATTACCCAAAAAAAGTTGTACCTGTTAATAATCACTGCCCATTCCTCCCAACCCCGTAAACTCAAAATAATCACTAATCTACTTTCAGTTTATAGGTCCGCATATTTTGGCCATTTTAATGGAATCACAAAATATATGGCCATCTGTGACCTGGCTCCTTTCACTTAGCATGACTTCAAGGGTCCTCCACCTCCAGGGTGTAGCATGTCTCTACTTCAGTCCTTTTTACTGACAGACAACACTCCACTACATGGACAGACCACGTTTTATTCATCAGTTAATGGATATTTAGGATGTTTCCACTTTTGGCCTATTGCGAATAACACTGCCTTGGACATGTTTTCATTCCTCTTGGGTACAGACCTAGGTGGAGAATTGCTGGGTTATATAATGATGCTGTGTTTGACTTTCTGAGGAACTGCAAGAATGTTTTCTTAGGTCATGTGGGGATGCGGCTCCCTTACCTCAGCACCATTACACTCAGCTCCGCCTAAGGCCTTCCTCAGCCCTCAATTTATCCAAGACTAAACGACTTGAAAATGCTTGCCTCCCTCCATATAGTCAGTTCTAACACTTTTCCAACCCATTCTTTCCCCTTCACAATTCATTTCCTGAACATCCCCTTTCTGTCTTATTTTCTCCCTCTGCCTCTAAACAGAAATCTATGCTGGAAAAATTCAAGAAGTCTAAATAAAAACAAAATACAAAAATCATTTTTTTATATATCTTTTTCACATACTTCTTTCAATAATATTTTTGTAAATTCTGAACTGGAAATCAAGAGTAACTTGACAATTCCTTTTTTGTTATTATTAATCATTTTATATTGGTTATTCTTTGAACTGCTCTACATTATATAGTAAGATTAAATGAAAGTTCTGATAAAGAAAAGTCCTGGACAAAAACCTTAAGGCTGCAAACTAAAAATTGTGGCTAATAACGTAACTGGTACACAGTAAATTATCAATAAAAATATTTTATTAATGCACCTAATCTGAATGTTTTATTATTAGAACCCTATTCAATGCTCAAAGTGAACTATTGTCCCTTATTAAATGTTTATAATCCTTTACTGGCTTTTGCTTATGCTAGCTTCTCATACTAATGACACTGGATTAACAGAAGAAGAGACATAATTATGCATCAATTAAGTACAAATACTAACTCAATCTTTTCATATGAGCACATGAAATGCTTTATTCAAGACACCCAGCTTTGAGCTCAGGATGTGCCAGGCATTGGATTAAGCACCTTTTAACAGTGTTATATCTAATCCTCACAAAGCTCTGCCAGGTAAATTCTATGCTCATTTCCACAGCCCAGAGAAAAAGACTGCAACCGGTGAGCCTGCCCAAGGCCAGACTGCGCGAGTGCAGCAGAGCCGACATCTGCGCGCACGCCCTGGACTCCAATGCCCACGCACCTGCCCACTGCCACCAGCGGGCGCCTATCAGACCAACTGTGTGACACAGGGCGGCATACGCTGCGCCCTCCCCCCACCCTACAAGGCAGGCACTTACTTGCATAAACTCCTTCTTTGCAGAGTCATGAAAATAAAGTTCTGCAACTTCTGCCTCAGAAGCAACGAGCCACTGAAGAATAATCCTTAGCTGGGGGTCTACTGTGCATGGCTCCATGTCAATATTTGTAATTAGCAGAGTCTTTCCATCTTGCTCCAAACCTAAAATTTAAATTTTTAAGCAACATACAGTGAAATCAATTCAACTCTCAGTACACTGGTTTCTAAGGATAGGTAAGGCATTTTCCATTTCTTAAGATTCCAAGCAATTTTCCAAAAAAATCATCCTTTTTGCACCATAACACCAACTAAAGCATTCCTTTGAAAGGGCAAAATAATGCTAAAATAAAGAAATAGTTTGATCATCTGTGACAGCACAGTGCAAAAGTCTATTCTGAGGCACTGAATTCAACTGGCAATTCACAAATGCCATAATTTATGTCAAAACATAATCCACAGGTATGGCAAATAAAACTAAAATGCTACAATTACAATCAAAACACAAATAAATATATTAAATGGACTTTCAGAAAGCTTTCTGAGACACAGTAGCAGGAGTGAATACTTGGATCACACATATTATAGCCTAAGAGCTCTTCTAAGCTCTTTAGACACAACTCCCTCACCCCTCACAAGCACCCTAGGAGGAAGGAACCGCTTTCATCCCATTTTATAGGTGAGGGATCAGGGGGAGAGACAGACCAAGAATCTCACAGCTGGGACACAGCTGAGTCAGGATATTAACATTGGCAATCTGGCTCCATGCTCTTAATCACTTCACTTTTCAGGCAAAATATGGGCAGGGGTGGGGGAGTCATATGCAACCACTTACATCCACAAAAACAAACCAGGGACTTTTCTGATACACTCTTATAAGACACTATTCTCAATTTATTTATTTTTTTAATAAAAATTATGTTTTCAACATAAAAAAAGAGGAATCTCTGTTGTAAAACTAAACCAATACCCTGTGTTGAATACCACCACTGCTCAGTGGTGGCTGAGAACCAGCAGTGCTGAGGCCCGGGCCTCCCCGACAAGAGGCAGGCTGGGGGCATGTGGGCAGACACCGCACCAATCTGCACCAGTAATGGACATTTGCTGGTGAATGTCCCTGAGTTTTTTTTTACAGTTGGCAGGGCATTTTAGACCACTACTAATTTTTAGGGTTCCTACTGACCTGTAAGATTTTTCATTTTAAAAAATTGGTTCATGCTATTCTCTTAAAATAAATGTATTATCATTTCCTTCCTTTCCACACTCTGATTCTCAATCAAAAATGGGTCTGGCAAACAACAGTCTTTGGGCCATTCTATAAATTCTGCAGAGGTCACGGAGTTGAAAGTTTCTCTGTACCACTAGATTTTTCAGTTCAGGGTGTCTGGCTACCTAAGAGTGATCTCTAAGAGAGGTCATTCAACTCTAGTGAAAAGAGAAAGAACTGACATCCTCCAACTACAAACAAAAATAAATAAATAAATAAAGCTTGTTGCCTTAGGATTTCCATAATTCTGAATTGTTTTTAGTCTGCAAAAAATAAAGCAAATATCCTCCCCTGGCTGGCTCACATGGTAAAGAATCTGCCTACAATGTGGGAAACCTGGGCTCGATGCCTGGGTTGAGAAGATCCCCCAGAGAAGGGCATGGAACCCACTCCAGTATTGTTGCCTGGAGAATCCCATGGACAGAGGAGCCTAGGGGGGCAACAGTTCATGGGGTCGCAAAGAGTTGGACACGACTGAGCAACTAAGTATAAACAAACAAACAGTCTATCAAAAACTCTAAAACTACTGCCGGATCTCCCTGGAGAAGAAAGGCTACTACTTCAGTATTCAGGCCTGGAGAATTCCATGGACTGTATAATCCATGGGGTCTCAAACAGTCCGACAGGACTGAGTGACTTTCACTTTTACTTTCCCTTTTTACCCCTACTTTGTATCTGATGAGAAAAAAACTTACTTCCAGAAACCCTATAAGAAAAATGGCTACTTAGGAGTGGTTTTAAAACTAAAATAATAATCATCTTAGGTCTGAGGATTTGGACTCAAAAGTGATACATGACCTTTCTAAACAAAAAAATACAATTGGTAATAAAACAAACTGGAAACCCAGGTAGAAAGTACATTTTAAGAAATTTGTTCCTGCAATTTTCTGTTGCCTATTTCTAAAGAGATGATTAAAGAATCACTTGTTCAAAAACTAATGTCTAAACATGAACATTCTTACATGCCACTCTATAGAAGACATTATCGGTATTTTCAGAATTAAGGGAAAATAAGATTCTTGGGAAAAAACTCAACACCCATCTAAATATAATGAAGTTAATGAGAAGTTTTTGAGATTCGCTTAAGACATTCTAATATATTTAATTAAGAATTACATATCACATTCCAGAACTCTAGTATTCACATATTTGGAACCATGATCATTAAAGGAAGAAATGAGTAACTATATTCTTCAAATATATGTGTGAGTATAAGACTGGAACTAATGGAAGGGAGAACTGGTTTAAAAATATCTTTTATTTATTGATTTTTATAAGACTGACATCAAACACTAATTCTAGAAATAACTAGTTTGAAAGGAAAACAAATTGACATGTGATAATTATAACATTTATATCTCATAGGAATTTTATATTTTAAACAAAATAATTATATGAAGAGACTATTATATGTTTCTCTCTCAAATAACTGAATACTTCTTTTAATGTAGTTCGGTCTTTACACTGATGAGTACCCCTCCTTTTACTTTAACAATCAAATAACACAAGCTGCTCAGCAAAAGATCTGACACTGGATAGATTAGTTCAAGAATGCCCTGATTTGGAATATTTCTTCATCTTTCAATTCCTGTATTATCTGTGTAATAAGAAATGTAGACAAGAACTTCTCCTGGGTCTACTCCAATTGCCAACTTCTGTAATTTTAATGGAAAACAATTTAAATATAAATCAACATTTGTTCTAATAAATAATTTCAAGTTACACTGAATAGTTTAAATGAGTAATACTGTGTTGAAGGGATCTCAAAAGACATTAATAACCAAAAGGGAAGGGGAAAAAAAACCATTATGGAGTTATAAAATGATTTTTTTCTGTTATTATTAACAGTCTTCAGTTAGTACTTCCCATCTGATAGGGCTCCATCTAGGTTCTTATAAATGTCTTTTTTTTGGTATGTTTATATTGTTTGAATGTTCCAAGTCTAGTAAAATAGCAAATGAATTAATGAATTTAAACAAAACAAAAAATAATTTGTTTTGTAATGTAAAAACCCTGATAACTCAGCAATAATACAGTGCCTATTTGATGAAAATGCACAAATATTAAAGACTTTTCTAAAGAACCTTATACAAAAAACAGGCGAACACTTTAAAAAACAAACAAACAGCCAGTTACCTTCCACATCAGTCTGATGCTCCTCTTCTTCATCATCTGGCCCATCACTTACCAAATGAAGCAAAAGAAGCAGTTAAAAAGAAAAAACTTTAATTAATAATGGTATTAAAGCCAATTCTTAAAATGTGACCAAAAAATGAATGTTACAATATGACATATGACATTTAAAAGGGGGAGAAATGACAATAAAAAAGGAAGCTTTGCTTCTCACACCATTTCATGTTAAAATCTCAAGTGCCAATGATGCCTAAAGGGAAGTTATCAGTAACAGAATTTCTACCTGACCATGATATACAGAGTGTCAAGTAATTACATAATAAAATTTAAAATAATTTAAAGCCAAAGTATGCTAATTTGGCTTTAGATAACACAGCATTTGAATATCACAGAATGCCATGAATAATTATTTATCAGTGCTTCGGTTGATCCCATTTGTATATTTTTAACAGTTAAAAACACATTTTTTCCTATACTTTTCTTATAAATGAAATAAAACTATATACAGAAACAAACAAACAAACAAAAAAACAGAAATCCTGTAGGAAGCAAGCTCTTTTTAATGAAACAGTAATTGGTAGAATGAAAAATAGCAAGCAGTGCAACGCATGCATAAAAGTAACACATTTTATAACTAGGTGTCAGTCGTATCTTAGCAGAGTTGAATTTTTTCATTAGATGTAAATTTGTCAAGCAGAATCATGTCAAAGATAGGAGAAAAGCAGGTTGACACATGTTGGCACTCTAACCCACATTCTTTTAAGAATATATCATGCATTAGTGGTGAAAGACTCATCAGTGTTTAGATTTCTGGACTGGACCAACCTGTCTGATGTTGGAAAGGATAAATTGTCCTCATACAAATCTCCTTCTAAACCAAGACTGCTCCAGCTACTGCTGTTACCATTACTGCCAGAGGAAGAAAAGAACAGAGCTGAACTAGAAAATGAATGGTAAAAACAACCCTGGTTTTCCTTGGAATGGCGTCCATCACTGATAACAGAGGATGTTCTGAAGCTGCCTCAGTGGGCACAGCATCCGTGGAGTTATGTGAAGACCATCGTAGCTACTACACGAGGTGTTCAACAGCTTCAGAGATTAGGGAGTTTTCTTACTTGTCCTCAGCAGTTCATGAAAATTTATTCTAAATTTATATTTATTTTACAGATTCAGACAATGACTTTTAGGACAGTAAATGAAAGGAAGAACAAAAAAGTTTCACAATGAAATTAACATCTATGGCAAAACTTAGGACATAATTTGTAAAAAGCCAATGCTCTTCAGTTTGGATAAAGTTTACACAGGTTAACTTTCTCTCGAGTCTTTTTTCCCCCTGAGTCTTTACAGAGTGCACACAGTGATGGCCAGGGTGGGGAATGAGGATGGGGAAAGGATGAGAAGGAAGACACTGAAACATATTCCCAAGAAGACCTCGTCTAACAGGGAGAAAAGATGTATTCTGATTTTAAGATATTCATTATTATGTCAATTACCTTCATTTCATACATTATGTATAATTCAGCAGGTGGCAAATAACACACATTTTCTTCAGAACACTGCATAGCCAAGGTCTAATCAAGCGTTACACTTGACAGATCGGCCAGTCACTAACTCCCCACGGATACCTTCTTACACTGCCTAATCAGAAGAACGCAACTACATTCTACAAGTGCGGCAAAGCGACACACACAAAAAGCAACTGTGTTCAGAAACAAAATCAAATTCAGTTTTTCAGATTAAAATCTAAACATGCAATTTTTTAAAACTCTTATCATAATTAGTAAGTAAATAGTGCTTACTTAGCTTAATTAGTAAATAATTAGTAAGCACATTAGTTGCAGTGATAAGCAGCTGTATTTTCCCATAGTAGGCTAGACAATTATAAAAATATTTACGCAATACAAAATTTGAGTTCTAAAAATGAATTAACATAAAATCATATTTGATGCATCAATAAATGTTGATAAGGTTACCAAAAAGGGGCTGATTAATTTAAAAGTCCTAAATAGTTTCCAGGCTATCTCAATAATTAACATGTACATATTAGCACTATCCAACTGTCACAAACCATAATGCATTACAGAATAAAAATTAAAACTGATCAGTGTCTTTTCAGCATTACATTCAAACAAATATAGCTCTAGTGTTAAACCATGAAACCAATTTTGCCACATAGTCTGGTGACAGACAAACCAAAAACGAGAAAATATGGAAATGCAGAATGGTTAAACAGCTGTGGCCAAAGAGAGAGAAAATTAATTATCTCAAACACCATATTTACTTATATTAATAGAATGATTATCTAAGCACAGAAAAAAATTACAAAATTAAAATTTTTACCCATTTTTATACTAAAGTCATGTATCTTAAGTGTGGTCTCCTTTAAAATCATCTGAGGCACTTGTCAAGTATGCAAAATCTTGGGATTGCCAATGACCCAGTGAATCTTAATCTTTAGAAGGCAAGCACACCAACCCTAAATGAGCCCCACTAAGTTTTTCTTTGTGCCAGAACCTTAAATTCACACAGTATCATTAGTTCTTATTAATTCTATGGTCAATTAAACCACAGGTTTTTTTTTTTCCTGGACAAAATGCTATCAGGTCAGGTTTTTCCCATTCAAGTAATTAATTTTCTGAACCTAAAGATATTTACTCACATTAAACACAACTGGTTTAGCCTCAGCCTGATTTGGTCTTTCTGAACCCTGGTTCTGTTAACACGATAACCTTTTCATCTCTGTTTTGAGTCACTCACCAATAACGAGTATTCTACACCACCAATAAAATAACACAAGAGGAAGAACCAAGGGCTGACCCTGATAGGCACTTCCCTTCTTTTCATCATATTGGACAGCATTCCATATTCAGTCGTTCAACCAGCTACAGTCCTTTTATGGCCACTAGCCTCTAAGTTCTCCCACTTTAACACCAGGATTTCATAAGCAACAATGTCAACCCCACTGAAATTCTAGAAGCCTGTTTCTCAAAGTGACAGAATTTAGTGTAAACATTCTAAAGCTATGGAGAGGGCCAAGTGATAATCTGTGACATTACCCCACTTCCTACTACCAGTTTTAAAGACTGCCTTTTTTGGATTTAAATTTTGTAAAATATTGGCAGTTTGTGTCACATTTTAAAAACTGTGACAATAAAATATAAAAATATTAACACTCACTGGTTAATCCAAGCATCAAACCAAGTACCCTGAGATGATGTGTTCCAACAGCTGAAAAGCCATTTCCTTTCCTTCTGCTTCCTCATCCCTTCTTCCCTCCCCCTCCTGGTAAGTCCATTCCAAGGGTCTGTTCTGCAGAGCTTCACAGGGTCCTTTCTACATTGCCCGAAACCCCCTCCTCTCCCGAGGCTCAGCTATAGTCAGTGTTTACTATTTCCAAATATCACTTAATGTGAATAAGATTTTGTAACATTTTATAGGTTAATCAGGAAGGTCTGTACGGCATTACGAATAAAAGAAATAATTGTATTATAATTAATAAAATATTCTAAAACTGGTTTTAGGAACAAGGTTAACTGAGAGAATGATATATGAAGCGCCTTCCGTTATATCATACTGTATTTTTGTAATCAGTTTACGAATTTCCAGTCATTCAAGTATAACTGCTCAAGTTAGTCCTCCTGAATGGACAAGTAAAGAATCCTTCCCCTAGAAAAAATTACTACTCTAATATCAAGAAAATACAGGACCATTTTGATGTCTTTTATAGATAACTATTCTTTTTCCGGTCCTTTAAAGTGAGAAAGAAAATTTTTTTCTCAAAAGTTCATGAGAAGGCCAAGTATAGCATGACGCACATAAAATGAAATGTATGACATACTTTTCAATTACTGGCACAAAGAAATTTAGTCCAGCTAATTACTATATTTAATAAATGTCAAACCGTTAGAAATAACGTTGTAACAAAATCCACTATGATAATAATGGTTAGGTTTACAAATTCAGAATTTTAAAATTAAATTCAACATAAATTTAACTTATTTCTGAGGAGTCCGAGTACCTAAACTACACAATTACATGCAAAATCATAAGTTACCTTTCACTTAGATGGTGAAAACTACTGCTTTCATCCTGGTGTTCATCTTCGAAACTTAAGTTAGACCAGCTCCCAGTACTGTCCTCACCAATACTGAGATGCATCTGCTGGCTACCAAGAGACTCAGCTGACTGAAAGTCTTCTGTTTCCTTTGGACTAGAAAAAAGAAAGAAAGAAAATAAGTCCAAAAGCATCAGGTTCTGAATTGTATTATAAATAGGAATATCCACTTGATAATAATGATGACAAAAACAAGAAATGGGACCTTCAGAGTTAGACCAGTGGTCGATCTAACCCTTTGTTTGGGTCTGCTAATAAAGAAACTTGGCAGGAGAGCTTATTAATTTCAAAATTAATTGAGATACCCACTGATATTCCTAACCTACTCTGTTCATCTATTATGGGTCCATCCCAAGCACATCATTTATTTAAATTCTCTTTAAAGCAGTTCATATTTTCAACTGGGACATTATGAAGGAGCACAAGTGCCTAAGTCTGCCACATCTGTTTTGTAAAACAGTATTTTTATTTGTACCAAAAACTACCCCTTTTCTGGCTTTAAGAACAAAAAAAGTAGTTCAAGGAATTCTAGACTGTCAATCGAGGCTACAGTCAGACTAGCCAAATCTCTTCAAGACTCTGAACATGGATCATAATCCCTCTCATTTTTTCCTCAACAAAAAAAATTACATCATAGTTTTATTCTATCTTCACAAGAAATTCCATTTGCTGTTCAATTACTATGTATGCCCCTTCTACATTTTATTCTTGACTAGCAGTTTAAAGTGATGTTTTAACTTTTTGTTGAAGCACAGTTGATTTACATTATTTTATTAGTTTCAGGAGTACAACACAGAGATTCAGTATGTTTGAGGATTATATTCCATTTAAAGTTACTACAAAATAATGGCTTATATTTATTTCCCAATGCTATACAATTTATCCTTGTTGCTTATTTTACACATAGTAGTTTGTGTCTCTTAACCCCATACCTCAATCTTGCCCCATATTTTCAAACATGAAGAGGGGAAGTGTTAGTCTTCTGATCAAAACCTTCCAGCGGCTTCTTATGAATCAAAATAAGAGTCCAAACCCTTTTAACATGCATCTGGTATGATAACCTCTCATGCCCTCCACTGGGCTCCCGCTCTCCCTGGCTCACCCGCCTTAGCCACACAAGCCTCTCTGCTGTTTCCCCAACATGCAGTCCCACTAACTTTGGCTGGGAACCCCATTTCCCTGATTCCCACTTAGCTTACTGTCTCTTCACCTTTGTCTCACTGCTCAAATGTCCCTTTGTCAGAGCTGCTTCCTGCTACCTCTTCAAAACTGCACGCCCACCCCCGCCTGCTGCTACCCACTGCCACCCCTAGCACTAGTTCCCTGCATCTCCCTATCTTAAGATGGCCAAGAAAAGAGGCAGTGCTTGTCACAGCATTGACAACAGCTACTAAAATATCCTGGGTTACCATGTGGCTCAATGAAATTCCTTCTCAAGAAATTTTCTCTTTCCATGAGACTAACAAAAATAATCCTACAAACTAATAACACCAGTCAGTCCTGATCTTTTCCCAGGGAGACAGAAGGCTAAAAGCGAAAATCTGAACTAAGCTGTTAGGATCACTGAGCACAGGCACAGTCTCTGAAACACGCAACACTGTAGGACTGTCACAGAGAACTGTCCCCTAGACAGCGCTTATCAAGAGGAGTGGCGGCAGGAGTGAACCATTTAGAGAACGCCTGCTTTCTTCATGGGGCTTCCCTGGTGGCTCAACTGGCCAAGAATCCAGCTGCAACACAGAACCCTGGGTGGGTAAGACCCTCTGGAGAAAGAAATGGCAACCCACTTCAGTATTCTTGCCTGGGAAATCCCATGGACAGAGAAGCCTGGCACGTTCAATTATGCTCTTTGTAAGAAAATTACTTTGTGAACAGAAATAAAAACATCATCTCAGAGTGGTACATTAATATGGTGATACTCAGTATTGGCTGTGTGAACTTCTCCAGCTGTTTCCTTGAGTCAACCTTACCTACTCTACAGCTGTGTCAACTTGGGCAAGGTGACCATTTCCTCTAAGCCTCACCTTCCAATTAGGAAATGCCTCATACCTTCCTTCCCCCAAAGGGCTGCTGGGGGATAACGAGACAGTGTCTATGAAAAGTAACAGGGAGGATATAAACGATATGCAAATACAATAGGGAGTATTTCTTTTTGTTCATTTAGGATTAAAAAGAATCACATCTTTCTGAACATCTAAGACATAAATAATCCAGGTAACTCTTTATTGCAAAACCCAAAAGAAATGAGAAGCTTACCTGCTGATGGCCTGTCCAGCACTGACCACTGCTGACGTCAGTATCTCTGTGCTGAGGCTCTCAGCAAAGCTGACGCCTTCCTGTCCAATCCCACTGTCAGCTGCCTGGCTGGTACTGCTCAGCTCTCTCTCTGCCTTTTCAATCGCTTCAGCAACTATCTTCTCAGCAAGCACTGTCTTCTTATCAAGAGCAACGTGAATCTGAGGGACATCGAGATGAAAAATCCTAGATTTCTGATAAAAGTTGCTAAGTTGTGAATTAGAAACTGCCTTACTACCAGCAAGCAGATCCAGCCTGGGAAAGCGAGGAGACAAATTTCCAGTGCAGTCATGGAGCTCTTTACGGCCACAGTATCGGCAAGCCTGACCCACCAGAGGTGGCAGCTTTTCTGTGTTCCTATCGACCGCTTTTGCGGCTTCAGACATGTGGAAGATGGCAGATCCTAAACCCAGCTCTAAAGTGTCACCCACGACTTTGTTAGCATACTGCTCTATAGCTTGAACAACAGTCTCTCCATAGCCACACCCACTCAAGCTGCCTGTACTCTGAGAAAATCTGTGATTCTGTGAAGAAGGCTGAAGAGACTTGGGAAACTCTGGCCCAACGTGAATCTCGGTATCTTCATCACATGCGTTTTTTCCATAAAGGCAAGAATCTGTTAAGGATTTTGGCAAGCCACCTGTCGATGCCATCAGCTCTTTTGTAACATCTCTTGTGATGCTGTGAGCAAGAGAGTTTGAAAAACTATGCAGTTCCGAGCACTCATTTCTGCACATATCCCATGTCCGTTCACAAGTCTGGTTTTTATGAAGATAACTTCCACTACTTCTACTTTGTCTTTTTGTATCTGCTTCTTGCTGGTGTTCTTTATTTAAAAACAGTAACAGTTCATCACTGGTTTTCAACTGTGAGCTTTGCACAGGGAGTATTTTGGAGCCACACTTCACTTTGGCTGCTTTAGCTGCTTCTTGTAATCCTGACTTAACAGACCGATAGGCAAGTCTGTTGGCGTACTGGTCCATTATTAACTCACCACTGCCACCTTCCTGTTTGAGTACTTGGATAATGTGACCTGCATACTCATCTGTCACACTTTCACAGCTGGGATACTTGTATGTTAGACCTGACAGACAAGAACTTGGTGATAAAGGAAGAATAAACGGATCTATTCCTCCTGGGTGGGCTACAGCCTCTACATCCAGCTTCTCTTCTGATCTATAATCTTGGTCACCATCAACACAACTGTTCCTCTTCCTCCTGAAAAACACAGAGCTCCTAACTTTTGCTATTTTTTCAGCTTCCGTAATGACTTCTGCTGCCATATCACCTGCAAAACTGCATAATGCTTGTAAGCTTTCATCTGAGCAATTTAAAAAAGCAGGAGATAGGCTTCTTTGACTCTCCACATTTAAGCAAGGGCTTTTCACCCTGGTTTCTTGAATCACCTTATTATCCAAATGGGAAGCCGCCATTTCAGTTGCAAGAGAATCAATGTGTGTCGCTAATGCGTCTGCAAACTGAACTTTCTTCCCCGCTGGCTCCGACTTCATGTCCACCTCTGGCAGCTCTTCGCCTTCACTACTTTCAACTTCTTCTGAAAGAGACCGCATGAGCTTCAACATGAACTCTTCTTTTTCTATTGCATTTTGTTCATTTTCAGACAAGCTGCTTACAGACGAGTTGTGAGGTGTGGACGGTGGTGTGGCCGGTGCGAACTCTTTTGCTAACTCCCCTTTAAGTTTTTTGGTTAACTTCTTGATATCCCACTCAGAAGGAGCCTGGGATGGAACCAGAGGAGTTGATGGAGGGGTGTCAGGTATTATGTTCCCATCTCTCATTTTCTGTTTATCTTCCACATGCAAACCATCTGCACAGGTGAGCACTGTGGATGAGAAAGCATGTGAATGGGGAAAAGAGTTTTCCTGCCCCAAAGCCAAGGGCTCAAGGGCTGAATTATGCAAATTCTGCTTTTTCACAGATTTGTCCTTATCAATTTCCTTCAGACTGGGTTTCTGGCCTGCCACCACTGGACAAGGTGGTAGTGTCTCCAAAGAAAATCTAGGAGCCACAGAACCTTTACCTTCTGGAACACAATCCTTTCCTTCTGAAAGTGAACAGCGAGTTAAATGATCTTGAGCTTCAAGAAACTTGGGGAACTCTTCCAAGGTCAACTGTGACTCGTCTCCAGGAACAGGCGAGTCTTCCTTGCGGAGGACATTTTTATCTACATTTAGGATCACTGACTTGCTTTCATCTATGGAATGTTTGATAATAGATTTAGATAACCGTTCGGCAAACATGTCCTTCTTGCTAGCCTCACACTGTGGCAGTGCCGCTTGATCCCAGGAGAAAGAAGGGGTTTTTCCCTTCCCTGTTTGAGTTAAACAATCTGTGTGTTCTTCTGTTTTTGCAACTTTGGAAGACGTCACTGAATCTATAGTTTCATTTACTATCGTATGCACCATTGCGGCAGAAAAATCACTAATAATCACAGGATCATTTGTTAACTTTGAAGAGCTTTCTGTTTCAACAACATCACTAGTTGGTTTCACCTCACTCTGGCTACCAGGGTTGCGGTCTGAAGGTAAACAAATATTCCTGAGACAAGCTAGCTCCTCTTCTTTGTCTTTTGTGGCAACACCTGCCGGGGTAGGACCACCATTCAAATGACTATCATCACATGATGGATGAGACTTTGTCTGATACGAATTAGAAGAAACACGGTATGGGAGAAGGGCACTTCCTGCCAAGGGCACTGGTATTGAAGTAACAATTCCTGAAGTACAGAACAAGGCCTGCTGCACCGTGTACTCCTTTTTATACTCCTGCACTGGTTTTGTCACCATACCTGTTTGACTGTTGGAAGGAGGGGAACACACAGAAGTCTGTGTCACTGGCACTACATCTTCTGTGCTCACATCCTTTATGTTTTCCGGGGAAACACTAACTGCTGCCTTTGTGGTGAAGGTAACATCAACTTGAGACAGCTCAATGAACGCTTCCTGTATTACAGATTCAGACAGATCTCTTGCATAGGACTTCACCACTCTGTCTTCATAGTGAAATGACCGACCCTGCAGAGAGGCAGGTGCTGGAGGATACGAGAACTGACACACTTCCATGATGCCTTCAAAAACAAGCTCTTCAGCGAGATCTGCAGCAAATCTAGTGACGGTGTTAGTGAAGATCTGTTTCTTTACATACTGCAGATCTTTTAAAGCATTTGAGAATGCCTCACTCACCAAAAAACTAGCCAGGCCACTAATGGCTCGTTCTTTCAGGGAAAAAGCACGTTGCCTTCTCAATTCGTTAAACGCCATTTGAAAAACGGATGACGTCAATTTGATGGCTAACTGGCACAAGGCATTGGTACACGAAGAGACCCCTTTCTGTAAGTCTTTAAATGCACTGCCAAAACTTTTTTCCACGAGATCTGCTGCAAACTTCTGAATGCTATCAATCATTAAGGATTTATTTTTAGATTTACTTTTTTGATCAAGGCTTCCATGCTGAAGAGCTACCATTTTATTTTCCCCCTTTTTAATACTATTAGGATTGGATGTTGCATTAGTATGTTGGCTATGAAGAACTGAGCCCAGAACTTCACAGGAAAGGCTATTTGCATAATCTTCATAGGTGTAATAAAAAGAATCAGGATATTCATGAATCCTATCTCCACCAGTATCTGTTTGGCAAAAGCATTCAGCTGGAGTACAGCCCCCAAGAGGACTGAAAGCAGAGGATCGAATAGGGCTAAACAAACCACTGTCTTCCCCTGAGGCCTTCACGGGGCGGGGAGAATCTGGGGCATCACACAGGTTACTGTAAGGGGATTCTGGTTTACGAGGAGTTGGCTTCCTAATGTTAGCTGGGAGAGCTGGCCGATCAAACTTGAATTTTTGAGGATTCATAGTAGCGGTTACAGAGCACAATTTTTCATGTTTGTGCCCTTTCTTTTGTGATGGCTTCCCTACAGCAACATCTTTCAGAAACGGACAAGCAGTCTCTAAAGTTTGTTCTAGTTCATCAAACTGATCGAAACTATCGAAAAACTCACTCACTTCTGAGTCTGAATCCTCAATATCATCTTTTGTCACAGGAATTTTAGGTAACTCAAGTTTTGCTTTCAAACTTTTTTGATAACCTTCTTCATCCAAGAAAATAACAGGACTTGGACTTGAGCACTCCGATTCAGACGAGTAGGCAGGAGAAGAGGAGAACAATGGTTTCTGGGCATCACTACCTTTCTCTGAAGCAGCAAAGGACCTATAGAAACTCCTCTGGACCCACGGCTCAGAGACTGATGTTGTGACTGAAGTTCTCACTGGAGGCAGTTTTTTATGTCCCAGAATGTTTATTAAAGTTGAAGGTTTAGTCAATGACTTCTGCTGCTCAGAGCCAACCAGAACCCTGAAACCATGGGTATCCAAATGGTGACCTGAAATAGTCTGTGAAGCAGCATCACACTGGCTCCTTAGTGCAATTATGTTTAATCCTAGAGGAAAAGAATAAAATGATTATTCTTGAAAAGAATCTTTTAATTGATTGAAATCAACAAGAATAAGTAGACGTGAAGCATGAAATACTCATTTGTATTATAAGTATCTTCTATACTATTCTGTTTAACACAGGGATCCCCAACCTCCAGGATGTAATGCCTGATGATCTGAGGTGGAGCTGATGTAGTAATACTAGAAATAACGTGTACAATACATGCAAGGCACTTGAATCATCCCAAAACCATCCCCTTCCTGCCCCAGTTCCATGGAAAAATTGTCTTTCATGAAACCAGTCCCTGGTGCCAAAAAAGGTTGGGACCACTGAATTAACAGATTCACCTCAAGCTGTACTTAAGAGCAAGTATTCAGTTCAGTTGCTCAATCGTGTCCAACTCTTTGCGACCCCATGAACCACAGCACGCCAGGCCTCCCTGTCCATCACCAACTCCCGGAGTACACCCAAACCCATGTCCATTGAAGGTGATGCCATCCAACCATCTCATCCTCTGTCGTCCCCTTCTCCTCCTGCCCTCAATCTTTCCCAGCATCAGGGTCTTCTCCAAACAGTCAGCTCTTCGCATCAGGTGGCCAAAGTATTGGAGTTCACCCATTACTAAAATATTCTCATTCTACCCCACATCTAGGAATACCTGGTCTATGGAATATCTAGCAAGCTGTTGCATGTTAGAAACACTAATATTTAGGTGACCCTGCCAGCTAACTCAAGTCTAATCTTAGGCATTTTCCAAACAGTTAAACTAATAAGGGAAACAGTGTCTGAGCAGTACAGCCTAATAAAAGAAAGAGCAAAACTAAAAACCAGGTAACAATGACCTTAAAGGACACAAGAAAGTTAATTCCTCAATCAGAAAAAAAAAGCTATCAATGCTTAAATTTGATCAAATTTCAAAATAAATTTCAACTGAACAATCTGTCTTAAAACTTTTAAAACTGAACTTTAAACCTTAATTATCTATTTAAAGAAAAAAAATCTAGTGAAGAACAAACCATCATTATATGGTTTTGAAGTCTCTTCCTCCTCTAACTGCTCAAAAGCAGTGACAAAGTCATCTTCGATGGAAGACACAGACTGGTTAGTATCATCATCGTCTTCATTGGTGGCCTCAAGTTGGTGCTTGTGATGCAAATATGTGTCCAGGGTGTACCTTATGCCAGTAGCATATTTACTTAGGAGACTAAAGATAAAATCAATTTTAAGTCTTGGTAATGTAGGTGACACTCTCATGACACAAAGCATTCCAGGATGTTGATTCTGGGAAAAGATAAAAAGATAACAATTTTAATTTCAAAATATACTATCTTACAAGACATATTACCTGGAAATGAAGCCCAAAAATAACACGATACCATTTTTACAAAAGGAAAAAAAAAGAAACACATGCCTCCTAAAAGGATGCCTGATTTTGTAATGTTTAATTATTTTCTTCATTCTTTCTCCCCAACACTTCTCACTTTCCAATCTCTTTTTCTCCCACCTTTCTCTTATCCATGTATTCAAATTCCACGTATTACGTCTCCTTAAATGTCAAAGGAACTTGCCATCCATTTCTGTAGCAATGATGCTTTCCTGTAACACTATACAGCCCTGTGCTTTTTCTTAATCATTCACCTGCTTCACCGACTATATTATTAACTGCTTGAGGACAGGAACCAAGTCTTAGTCTTCCTGTATCCCATTTTCCTGTAGCTTTCAGCATGATAACACATTCTCTTCTATCATAAAAGAACTGTCCCTTCCTTTCTCCTAAACTCCCCTAGCATTTCAATTTCCAAGGTTTATAGCTTTGATTAAAAATAAAAAGTCAACAGAATTTTCTCATACGTATTATTTTTTAAAAGACAAATGTTGACAAATGACTTGTTCAAAAGGCTAGAAATGAGATAAAATAGCTGATCACCTCTTCTAGTAAATAAAACAAAATAAATATAAATGAAGAATCTAATTAAGGAAATGAGAACAGTTCTACTTTTATCTGTAAATCTCATAAAAAACACAGTAGTCTATAATACTTGAAGGAATAAGTAAATTTAAACCTACTGATTCAATTTTTAGTAGGGAAAATATGCAATGCATTTTTGTTTGATGCATTATCAATAAATTAACACTTAGTAAAGAACTAAATATTCAATGTTATGAAACTAATGACCTCACTGAAATGGTGACATTTTTGCTTATAAATAAGGAACACATCTTCAGGTATTGATTTAACATGAAATTTTTTAAACCAGAAAATGAGTTAAAGTATATTCTTTAAAAGATACAGCTCAGTATTTACATAAATTTGGAGTTGGAAAGAAGAGGGAAAATTTTATATGACTTACACACAGGTAAAAATTCAAGAAATCCAGAAATAATTTTCAGAAAAAAATTAATATGTCTTACTTACCACTTATGGAGTTTCACACATGGAAAATCTAATTTAAAGCTATGACCAAAATTATTTTACCCTTCACTGATTTCAAAGATTCATAAGTTAGATTTCTTATGAATTATATTTCCTTGAGATGGTATTAAACAAAAAGAAGCTTCACCCAAGCATTTTAAAGTTTAATGCTCTAAATTAACTTCTTCATGGATTGCAGCCTTGTTGTAGCAAGGTGGCTTATGTAACTCAATAAAGCTATGACCCATGCCATGCTGGCCCACCCAAGACAGACGGGTCACAGTTGAAAGTTCTGACAAAACGTGGTCCACTGGAGGAGGGAATGGCAACCCACTCCAATAATCTTCCTGGAGAACCCAACAACACTATAAAAAAGGAAAAGGTTATGTCACCAGAAGATGAGCTTGCCCAGGTCAGAAGGTGTCCAGTATGTTACTGGGGTACAAGAGAGGGCAGTTACAAATAGTTCCAGAAAGAATGAAGACCAGGGGCCAAAGCGGAAACATGCTCAGTTTTGGATGTGTCTAGTGGTGAAAGTGAAGTCAGATATATAAAGAACAATACTGCATAAGAACCTGGAATGTAGGTGCATGAATCAAGGTAAATTGGATGTGGTCAAATAGGAGATGGCAAGATTGAACATCAACATCTTAGGCATCAGTGAACTAAAAGAGACAAGAATTAGCTAATTTAATTCAGATGACCATTGTATCTACTACTATGGGAAAGAATTCCTTAGAAGAAATGGAGTAACCCTCATAGTCAACAAAAGAGTTCGAAATGCAGTAACTGGGTGCAACCTCAAAGATGACCGAATGACTTTGGTTCTCTTCCAAGGCAAATCATTCAACATCACAGTAATCCAAGTCTATGCCCCAACCATTACTGCCAAAGAAACTGAAGTTTACTGGTTCTATGAAGACCTACAAGACCTTCTAGAACTATCACCAAAAGAAAGATGTCCTTTTCATCATAGGGGATTGGACTACAAAAGTAGGAAGTCAGAGATACCCAGAGTAGAGTAACAGGCAAGTTTGGCCTTGGGAGTACAAAATGGAGCAGGGCAAAGGCTAACGGAGCTCTGTCAAGAGAACATGCTGGTCACAGCAAGCACCCTTTTCCAACAACCCAAGAGACAACTCTACAGATGGACATCACCAAATGGTCAACACCGAAATCAGACTGCTTATGCCCTCTGCAGCCGAAGATAGAGAAGCTCTATAGTCAGCAAAAGCAAAGCATGGAGCTGACTCTGGCTCAGATCATCAGCTCCTTATTGAAAAATTCAGGCTTAAATTGAAGAAAGTAGGGAAAACCACTAGACCATTCAGGTATGACCTAAATCAAATCCCTTATGATTAAACAGTAGAGGTGATCAATAGATTCAAGAGATTAGATCTAGTAGAAAGTGCCTCAAGAACTACCGAAGGAGATTTTTAACACTGTACAGGAGGCAGTAACAAAAACCACCCCAAAGAAAAAGAAAGGCAAGAAGGCACAGTGGTTGTCTGAGGAGGCTTTACAAACAGTTCAGCAAGGAAGAGAAGCAGAAAGCAAAGAAAGGGAGATACATACCCAAATGAAAGCAGAGTTCCAGAGAATAGCAAGGAGAGATAAGAAGGCCTTAAATTAACAATGCAAAGAAATAGAGGAAAACAACAAAACCAGAAAAGACTAAAGATATCTTCAAGAAAACTGAAGATACTATGCAAACATTTCAAGGAAGGGCACAAAAAAGGACAGAAATGGTATGGACCTAAAAGCAGCAAAGATATTAAGAAGAGGTGGCAAGAATACACAGAAAAACTGTACAAAAAAAAAAATCTTAATGACCCAAATAACCACAATGGTATGATCACTCACCAGGAGTCAAGACATCCTGGAGTGTGAAGTCAAGTGGGCCTTAGGTAGCATTTCTATGAATAAAACTGGTGGTGGTGATGGAATTCCAGCTGAACTGTTTCAAATCTGAAAGATGATGCTATGGAAGTGCTATACTCAATATGCCAGCAAATTTGGAAAACGCAGCAGTGGCCATAAGACTGGAAAAGGTCAGTTTTCATTCCAATTCCAAAGAAAGGCAATGCCAAAGAATGTTCAAACACCAGATAATTGGACTCATTTCACACGCTAGTAAGGTTATGCTCAAAATCCTTCAAGCTAGGCCTCAGCAACACATGAACTGAGAATTTCCAGATATACAAGCTGGATTTAGAAAAGGCAGAGGAACATGAGATCAAATTGCCAACATTAGTTGGATCATGGAGAAACCCAAGGAAATTCCAGAAAACTATCTACTGCTTCACTGGCTACGCTAAAGCCTTTGACTGTGTGGATCACAATAAACTGTGGAAAATTCTTAAAGAGATAGGAGTACCAGACTACCTTTCTTGTCTCCTGAGAAACCTGTATGCAGGTCAAGAAGCAACAGAATCAGACAAGGAATAAGTGATTGGTGCAAAACTGTGAAAGGAATATGTCAAGGCTGCATACTGACACCCTGCTTATTTAACTTATACGCATAGCACATTATACCAAATTCCAGGCTGGATGAATCACAAGCTGGGATTAAGATTGTTGGGAGAAATATCAACAACCTTGATATGCAGATGATACCACTCTAATGGCAGAAAGTGAAGAGCAACTAAAGAAAAGAGTCTCTTGCGTGGGTGCTAAGTCTCTCAGTTGTGTCCAACTTCTTTGCAACTATGGACTGTAGCCCACCAGGCTCCTCTGTCCATGGGATTCTCCAGGCAAGAACACTGGAGTGGACAGCCATGCCCTCCTCCACAGGAGCTTCCCATCCGGGATTGAACCAGAGTCTCTCGTCTCCTGCGTTGACAGGTGGGTTCTTTACCACTATCGCCACCTGGCAAACCCAAAAGATGGTCAAAGTAGAGAGTAAAAAAGCTGGCTTAAAACTCAACAATGAAAAAAACTCATGGCATCTGGTCCCATCACTTGATGGCAAATAGAAAGGGAAAAGGTGGAAGGAGTGACAGATTTTATTTTCTTGAGTCCAAAATCACTGCAGACAGTGACTGCAGGCATCAAATTAAAAGACACTTACTCCTTGGAAGGAAAGCAATGACCAACCTAAACAGCATATTAAAAAGCAGAGATAGTACTTTGCTAACAAAGGCCTATATAGTCAAGGCTATGGTTTTTCCAGTAGTCATATACAGGTGTGAGAGTTGGACCATAAAGAAAGCTGAGCATGGAAGAACTGATGCTTTCTAATTTGGTGCTGGAGAAGACTCTTGAGGGTCTCTCAGGCAGCAAGGAGATCAAACCAGTCAGTCCTAAAGGAAATCAACCCTGAATATTCACTGGAAGGACTGATGCTTAAGCTGAAGCTCTAATACTCTGGCCACGTGATGTGAAAAGCTGACTCACTGGAAAAGACCCTGATGCTGGGAAAGACTTAAGGCAAAAGGAGAAGCGGGAGGCAGAGGACTAGATGGTTAGACGGCATCACCAACTCAATGGACATGAATATGAGCAAACTCCAGGAGATCATGGAGGACAGAGGAGTCTGACATGCTGCAGTCCATGGGGTTGCAAAGATTCGGACAGGACTGAGCGAGTGACCTACAACAGTGCTAAATTAAAAGTCATTTATAAAATGTGCCAACAAAAACTAATTAGAAATAATATATAAAAGTTACCTGGTTTAGAGGATCATGGTTTATGTCTGATGATTTATTTATATCCTTCATACAAATAATTTCATTTTCATTTAGACTGCAGAAGTGCAGTGAATTCAGAAGATCTGGGAGTTCCAAAGAAACTTCAGCCAAATCCTAATGTAAAGCAACAACACAATAAATAACACTGTAGCGTAACACTTTAAGTCCCCTATATTGTGGCCCTGAACTAAAATCGTACAGTCTACTTGTTATTGTTGTTCAGTTGTTCAATCATGTTTGACCCTGTGCAGCCCCGTGGACTGCAGCACGCTAAGGTCTACTAGTTAGTAAACTTTCCAGTTCATAATAGCTAGCACTTGCAGTTTATTGACCACCATCGATTGTTTAGAAACTCAAAAATAAAATGTACTAAAATATTTTAAAATTGACAATTTTTGTAGCATTTTAAACATAATGATACCAAGCTGTAACAAGATTTTACATGGTATCTCACACATCAACAACAACAAAGCATTTAATAGTTATCAGCAGCAAATGTCAAACCTGGAGTCCTCAAGTTTAACCATGAAATTTCTCAAATGGGATTCTTGCTTTTACACTTCTTTGGCGGTTAAGTTACATATTTGTATAATCCACATCTATTTTTCTGCCTTTCCTCTCTTTAGTGAAAATTTTATGAAGATGTAAAGAAAAAGAAAATGCCTGTTTTTCTTTCCATTTGCCCCTTTCATGTAACTGTTTTGCCCACTTCAAGAATTATTACCATCTCTGACCATTCATACACTACTTTCCTTCGTAAACATGGTTTTATCAGTCATTCTTAAAGAGGAAGTGGAGTATGAAAGAAATAACTTTGGATAAGTCTTTTCAGCCTTACATTCGCGAAACCGTATCTTCTCTTGTGCCCTCTGTCTAAACTATTTCCTTCAGGCAAGGGCACAATCAAGACACACAGCAAAGTTTTCTTATCACCAGACACGCATTATCTTTACAAACAATGCACCGCTAGTGCTGCTGCTTCTACTAAAAGATGCTATACTGACACAAAAGGAAACACGACAAGCACAAATTTTAAGAAGCAGTACACTATCACATCTACCCGGGCTTCAACTCCTCTTCACCTAAGTGTGCAGCTTTCCTCTGCTGATCCTAATCTCAACTGTCAGTCCCTCTATAAACACCTGCCTAAATCAAACAGGCTAAAATTTTTACACTGATTCTTCATTATTTTTTACAAATTTACTCTTACTTTAACAAATTTAACTCTTTTCTCAATTAAAAACATAAGAATGTGACTGCTGAAATTAGATTATAAAAACCATCAAAATAAAAAATAAATCTTCCATTCTACATTATGACAGATGCAGAAAAAGTTAGCCTGTGGTTTGCAACCTTCTCAGATAAATGACTTTTGCGGTCCCCTAACCTAAAACTGCTTTCCGTAACAGAAACACTCAGTGAAAACACTAAGCAAAAATGTCGAGGACACGCTCAAAGTTGACCTCAAAACGTCATCTTTTACCTTTAAATAGGAATGATAACAGAAGAGTTTAATGTAACTTTGGGCTAATAAGGCAAATTTTCCATGCTCTCAAAATCTATTTCAAATAATCTCTCATGTCCCTTTCCAGTTCAATAAACTGACCATACCTGTATATGAGCAGCATCTGTTTCTTCATTAAAACCTAGAAATGTGACCTGGATAAAAAAAGGAATAAAGGTCCATTAAGGTTTTAAGTCTCGTCTCGATCAGATTGTTGACAGAGCTGAGAAACAGAAAGGAAAGCACACAAAGCATTAAAATGCTGCTGCAAGATGATTAATTCTTTCAAAGATGATCACAAAGGTTTTTCACCAAAGACCTGGCTCCATAATTGGGATTCCCGAACCTCTCCAACACCCACTCATCAGCAAGTTCCATCCTCGCCCTCAAGCATGAAGCACATGACTCTCCTCTCCACGCCTCTGCCACCACCTCCCCCCAATACGGCCCCCTCCTCTCCCACCTGCCTTGGGGATCATCCTGTCACTTCCCGGCCAAAACCTTTCCAAGCTTCTCAGTGCAGAGTCCTAATGCAGGTCCCAAGGCTTCGGCTTAGCTGGTGGCTTCAACTTTCCCTCACCTTCATTCAAACACACGGGCCCCCTCTCTGGGTCCAGGACTCGCCTGATTGTTCCTGCCTAAGGGTTTCAGAGTGGTGCCTTCAACCTGGACCCCTATTCCTTGGATGTTTACCTGTCTAGCTTCTTCTCGTTCTGCTGCTGCTAAGTCACTTCAGTCGTGTCCGACTCTGTGTGACCCCATAGACGGCAGCCCACCAGGCTCCCCCATCCCTGAGATTCTCCAGGCAAGAACATTGGAGTAGGTTGCCATTTCCTTCTCCAATGCATGGACGTGAAATGTGAAAGTGAAGTCACTCAGTCGTGTCCGACTCTTTGCTACCCCATGGACTATATAGCCCACCAGGCTCCTTCGTCCATGGGATTTTTCAGGCAAGAGTACCGGAGTGGGGTGTCATTGCCTTCTCCTCTCGTTCTTCTAGCTCCAACCTAAACGTCACCTCCTCAGAGAGGGTTCCCCTGGGAACCTCCCAAGCTACCTCCTGACTGACTCTCTGTGATATCACATTTATTTAATTCAATGCCTTTACATGGAGATTTCTCTACAAAAGTTTATAGATATCAAATTTTTAAAGACAATCTAATGGTCTGAGGAAACATCATATTATTAAGCAAAAAGGACAAGTTATAGAAAAATGATATGGACTATACTCACAATTTCAATCTTATTTTTAAAAATATACACCAGGAAAATAATTCTGGAAGTTAATATACCAAATTATAAGGAGGGATTAACTTTCAAAGATGGAATTATAAGTGATCTTATTTTTCTCTACTTTTTTCCCCCTATGGTTTTTTCTTTCTTCACTTACAGGATTAATGACATTTTTTTATATACTTTCAGTATTTCTTATTTTTCTATATGGAATATGTACAGTTTTATAACCTCAATAGTATTACTTTAAAATTTTATATTTCCTTGTCTTTGACATCATAAGAAGAAATTTTGGCTGCTCGAAGCTAGACTAGTAAACTGTCTACCAAGTAAGTTCTGTGACTAAAAATATGAAATAAGTGACAACAATACAGATAATCAATTCTCAAGAATTAATGGAAAACAGCATAGTTAAAATACAAAGCAACACTCAATATACTTTTGACATCTTTCTGATGACTCAAAAGCAAGTCAGAATCGTAAGATTGTTGCAGAATCTTTATTCTCATCAATTATGAGTACTGCCTTCACAGAAACGTTACAGTTAACTTCCAGGTGTCCAGGTAAGTCATTAACCTGCAGGAACCTGTATCCTTACATATAAATCTTAAGGCAACACAACTCCTCTCCCACAGTTGTGAGGGTTAATAAGAGAACGTAGAGGAAAGTGCCCAGCATATCACAGGCACTCAATAACAAAGAGACACTCAAATAACAAGATTCCTTTCCTCAACAAAGCCTTGGGAAATATATACGCCCTTGCATGAGACAGAAATTCCTTCTATTCTTTCAAGCTTCCTTCTACTGAATACAAGAGAGAAAGAGGCTGGCACGGGGTTTGAAGGTGCCGGCAGAGCGCTGCATCTTGCAGTGCTTGAGGAGCGTGGGCCCACAGGGGCACTGCACAAAGAGCTGGAGCGAGGCGGCTGGGAAACCAGCTGAGCGCAGAGGACACAGACTTGTCACACTTGGCAACAGCTGAGGAGATTCGGAGTGGCTTGGCTTGACTAAAATAAAGTAAAAAGGAATAACAAACAGGAGAACAGCCAAGAGCCAGAGAACTGAGCTCACAGAGAAAGAAGAGGGTCGGGTCAGAAACCACTACAGGCCTGAAAGCTGTGCTCACCATCCTATGCAACTACTTCAGACACAGTTTCTCAAGGAATATGAAAGAAAATCATACCCAAAATAATAATCAATATTTTTATTAGAACTTTCAAAAAAAAAATTTCAATCAACATATTTATCAGTTTTGAGCTTCAATGACCCCAATACCCTGTCTCTCTTCTTTGGTAAATAAAAGTATAGATGGACTATGCTTATATATTGTAGAAAAAACCTTTACCCCTTTTTATAGTAATAAATTCAAACAAAGATTGGAAACATTGACACAACAGAGAAAAAGGTGAGCAAGTAGTATATCATATCCTTAAGTGGCAAATATCTTACTTCAAAATAAATATATCACTACTATTTCATTTTGAATCAAAGCACTGAATTTAAACAACCAATAAATGAGTATTAGAAATAAGTATATATTTTGTTTCAGAGTAGAAAATTTCAGAATGTAAGTCCCAATTACTGAACATAGTAGAAATCATCTAATACAGAGCTGTGTGACTGATGAGTGGTCAGTAATGTCTGTGCACTAAATTAAATGTGTGCATTATAATACACTAAGATGACTATGCTGTGTGTGTGTGCTAAATTGCTTCAGGTGTGTGGGATTCTTTGCGATCCCATGGACTGTAGCCCACCAGGCTCCTCTGTCTGTGGGATTTTCCAGGCAAGAATACTGGAGTGGGTTGCCAAGCCCTCCTCCAGAGATCTTCCTGACCCAGGGATTAAACTGGCATCACTTATGTCTCTTGAATTGGCAGGCAGGTTCTTTACCACTAGTGCCACCATATTAGCAGGTACTTAAAACAGGTACTTCTCACACATGAATTAATGTGCAGAGATTTTAGACATTTAAAAACAAGACCACGCAGTTCTAAGATACATGAAAATACAGTGTGCTGTATTAGGAAAGGGTATAGACAGTAATCCGTCAAACCTCAGTCAAATTGGCATGTTCATCCTGCTTCAAACAGTCCTCAGCTGATACATTGCATAGTTCCTTATCACTCTGCAATAAAGACTTCACAGACTGGAACACATCTTCATTGAAGCTCTGAAAACAAAAGATATTCGTAATTTACTTAATTCTAAGACAATGTAAAAGATCCTGGTGATCGATTAAATGTAGAGTCACTAACTTTCCAATAAATATTCACTGGGCACCTTTTGATGTAACAGAACTCAACTCAACTGAGAGAAAGAACAAAAGGCTGAAGCAGAACTCCACACGCTCAACACACAACAGCACAGGCTCTCAACCTACTGGAGACCATGAGGCTCTCAACCAGGTCCTCTTCCTTTCACCCTGCACTGACACCGAGCAGATGAGCAGATCGCATACCTGATTTCCAAGTCACTGGCAGAACAGAAGCAACAATTTATAAGATGATGATGGGGAGGGGGCTTACAGTAAGGTATGCTAACAATGTGATTAATTTCATAGCAAAGTTGGAGATGGAAAAATGAAAGAGATAATAACCCAAAATAAGGCTTTTAAGGGTTCTTAAAGCAGAAATATGATGAAAGAGGCAAGGCATTCCAGATTTGAAAGAAAAGGATGTCACAACTACAAAGAAACAGAGGAGGAAAATTTCATCAAGAAATGAGTATTATAGTTGGATATAAAGAGAACATTAATTTCTCTCTACCTTATTCCGCTTCTGATTTGTTGATCTGCAATTCTAGCAAAAATGTCCTTGTTCCCTAATGTTCCCCTGTAGAAATCCTACATATTCCAAGACTTGTGAAGATTTCCCATCCCTCAGTCATAATAAAGCTCTCCCAAACTTCCTACTGTATTGTTTGCACATTAAGATCATTTAATCTATATCACAATGTATTATAATTACTGCTTTTGTATGTATGTCTTTCCTACCTGTTAAACCAAATTACTGAAGTAATTGTCATTTACTCAATCTATTTCTCCAGATTTCAGTACCTTACACACAATATGAACTCAACAAAGAGAAGAGATGCAAATATGAAATCAAAGCAATTAACAAAAAAAATGTAATGTTAAATCTGAACTTTCAATATGAACTCAGGACTCTTTAAACATATGTACTACATTTTTTCCACTGACAGATCATAGAATCAATGACGCTTAAGAGCAATGAGCATACCCAGCACACAAATTTTGGTTTCTAAATACCATTCACCAATTAAAAGAACTAGAAGTTCCCTGAGTGAAGGAATTCCAGGTCTGAGGCGGAAATGTATGAAGTGCAACTCAACATCTTACTGTGACACATGGAATGAAGTGTCTCAAAAGAACACAGAAGCTTGAAGAACACTTGAAGGAATTCCAATTGGCCAAATATGGGATAATCTAAGCATCACAAGAATACAGATGGTAATGGAGTACGACAGCTGAGTTTAAAAGAAACTACAAGTCCATTAAAAGAGACAGATAAAAGGGTAGGGGTTGGAGGACTGTGCTACTTACCTTAGAACGCTGGCTAACAAATATGAACAGAATGACAAAATTTAAAAATTCCATTTGTAACTCCCAATATAACTACTGACTCAAGAAAGGACTATCAATGTATCCTAATCCACCAGATTAAAAGCTACTAGGGAACAAGATACAGTGTTGTGCCACATTACCCTACAGATTACTTATTAACAGCATTAATTACAAGGGGATTATGTGTCTTTATGCTGTAGATAACTGGTGGTTTATCAGAGTTAAGGTAGTTAAGGGTAACTAACTACCTGGTCAAGCCTGGCCTTAACAAGATGCACCTTCTGATCTGACACACTAGAATGACCATGACTTCATCCGTGAGGTGCTCCTACTGAACCTAACCACAGGGAAAAACAAGTGAACTCAGAATATGGAGATGCTCTACAAAATAAGTGGTACAAACTCTTCCAAAGATTTGCCATCATGAGAAAAGAACCTAGGCCAGAGATGGAGCCGACAGGGGTGGGGAGATCAAAAAGATACAATACCCAAGTAGAGAATGTCAACCTTGCTTGACTCCTAGTTGAGAGGCGAGGGGAAAATCACAAGGATACTGAGACAACTAGGGAAATTTGTGCATGGATTGCACATTAAGACCGTGCTACTGAATTAATGATTTTCTGAAGGACGGTAATAATGCTGATGTTCTTAAGAGACGCATGCTAACATATTAAGACGAGAAGTAAAATAAAGTCTGTAGCCTACTCTCATTTGGTTTCAAAAGGGAAGTGTGTATGTACATATATACACACACAGATAGAATGGGTTTGGTAAAATATTAACAGGGTGAATCTAAGTGAAGAGTGTATGTGGTGTTCACTGTACTGCTTTCCCCCCCCAATATTTGAATATTCAAATTTTTAAATGATTCTCCTTTCACTAATGAGTGGAAATTTTCAGGCTAAATTATGAACATGAACTCAAAAAAGGAAAAAATATGAAATGTGAAATCTGAACATAAGCAATTAACATAAACTCATGAAAGTAAAAGAACAACAGTCACAGTTAGTACCCAGATCCTGATTTCTAAATCAAGAGGTTCTGTGGAGAAAGAGCCCATTCCAGGTCTGAGGAAGGTAAAGCAGAAACAGGTCAGTCTTGTACTAGAAAGCAAGGCAGCAATTAAAGAATTAAAAGCCTGAGACAATAGGACTTTGGCATTGCCTGAAGGGGCTTATAGGGACCAAGTCTGGGGCAATCTGAGCAACTTAAATAAACGAGTGAATAAATAAATAAATAAATGATTGCAAATACATAAAAGATGAGAAAACATAGTTATTTTAAAATCAATGCTTCCGGAGCAACACAAATAAAACTATTTTCTTCCATTTAAGGTGACTATTCCACCAAATCATTCATCTGAAAATTGGTAATCACAATTTTGCAACTTTCAGGAAATAGCTGCAGGATAGGACCATCAAGGGATGCAAAAAGTACTAGATGAAAGTCGAAAAAACAAGATGTTTGCACACTGCCAAGTATCATCCCATAGATATCTGCTAACTAAAAAACAGAATATACAGTTTTAAAATGGACAACAGTTACGACTCTAATCAACTGATCAATTCTAGCATCACTAATCATTAGGAAAACCTGCAATTTTGTCTTCTCACTACCCTTTAGTACCCTGGCTAAAAATTTTTAACTTGAATCTAAGTTAAGCCTTTACACCTAACTTCTAGTTTATATGAAATATATAGAGAGGGGAGAAGAATAAGTTAAATAGCACTGTGAGAAAACAACCAGATAAATGCAGAATGTGGAACACTGTACAAGAAACTGGCCTGGCCCATTCAACAAGTCAGTCTTGAATTTAAAAACAAAAAGAGGAGAAACTCTTTCAGAACCACTCCTCAAAAATATGAGTCATAACCATCAAATGCAATAGGCGCCTATACTGAACCCAAATGGGAGTGGGGCGGATGAGGGCCCAAAAAGACATTTTCAGAGTAATAAAGGAAATTTGAGTATGGCTGGGTATTAGATATAAGGGGATTATATTTAATTTTCTTGAATGTGACCATGTTTGGAGTGAAGAGACATCAAGAATGTTAACTTTTACAAGGATTTACTGTATAGCACAGGGAACTATATTTGAAATCTTATGATAACCTATAATGGAAAAGAATCTGAAGCTCTACACCTCAAATTAACACCATATTGTAAATCAATTATAGTTTTAAAAAAAAATAAAGACCATTAATTTTCAAATGGTTCTGCCAAAAACACACAGAAATAAAACAAAAATATTAACTGCTGAATAGGGTGGTTGGTATGTAGGTTTACATGTGGGTGTACTATATTTTCTCTATATGCTTGAAATTTTCATAATAAAACGTTAGAAAAAATTAATGGAATAGAAAGTGCAGTTCTTTCTGGTTCTCACAGTCCCTGATTCCCAATAAATATTCAAAGTATCTCTTTATCTTTAATGCAAAGTAAAGTGAAATCTAGAAAATCTGAGTATACCTTTCAATTTCCACATTAGCAAACAGGGAAGTTTTTGTCAGCTATATATGTATAAACATACATATACACCTTTTGAAATAAAGATGTCAAAAGTTGTACTGTGCATGCAAAACACACATACATACAAAGAGTACATAATATTCTCTTGAATATTGAATGAATGAACAGGTTCATATACTACTATCTAAAAGGGTTTCCAAATATTCAAGAGAATTCAAACCAGAACTTTATCATGTGTCTAATATAAACAATGGGCTAATAACAATATTAAATTAACAGTATGAAGTTTTGGCTATGGCTGAATGCACTGGTGAATTCAAATTAAATAGGTAGGTAGTACAATGCCTGGAGTACATGGTTTCTAGCTCACTATTTTATTTTCTGTAGATGTGCATTTCTTAGTTCTAATATTAATTTAAAGCAATCAATACAATTACTAATTTAAAGTTATGGATCCAATGGCTAATTTGAAAAAACTGTAATATACCTATAGTTTACAAAAAGTAAAAACACAGAGAAAATAGTTTTTACTGTGAAGTGAAGTGAAGTTGCTCAGTCGTGTCCAACTCTTTGCAACCCCATGGACTGTAGCTCATCAGGCTCCTCCATCCGTGGAATTTTCCAGGCAAGAGTACTGGAGTGGGTTGCTATTTCCTTCTCCAGGGGATCTTCCTGACCCAAGGATCGAACCCAGGCCTCTTTTTTCAAATTAAAAAGGGGACCTACTAAGTTTAAAGGTCCCTGAAAACACAAGGGACATATTACTTAAAAATATAATTACTACAGAAACTAGCGCAATATTATAAAGCAATTATCTTCCAATAAAAAAATATAAAATAAATAAGTTTACTTTCTGCTTTCCAACTCTGCAGGCACCTTTTTCGACAACCACTCTATTCCAGTTAGCAGTCAATCCAAACATTTCTTAGATCTCTGAAGAGATGAATAGCTAAATGAAAAAGCAGGCCCCGCAGCTTTTAGGAACACTGACAATGAGAAGCTGGAAAGAAGACCTGCAGAGGAGACAAGCGCCACCCTGAGAGAGGAGAGAGAAAAGGCTGCAATGCAAGACGTCAAGGACCATTGATCAAGCAAGGACTTGTCAACAGTGTCATATCATGCAGGAGATGAAGCTAAAAAAAGGGCTGACAAAGAATGCTAACCACCCTCCAGTGCTCATTCTCCCTTTCGTCAAGTGACACCCCCACAGTGTTAGTCAAGAAAAATATCAAGAATGAAAGGGTAACAAAATCATCACAAGAGAGGAAAAGAGAGAGGGTTCTTCCTCAGACTAGCAACCCAAAAGCATCAGGAATCACATTTCATTTGCCCGCTCTTTATTTTCCACCTGCTACCTAGCCTAGGGTCAGGCATACTAGCAGCCCTCAAGTTTGTATCTGCTGAGTGAATCAGTGAACAGTAATATTTTGAGGTAAAGCTAAAGCTATGTAAGAAAAGTCACACCTGATGCTTATATTGTGAAGAAGAAGAAAGAAAACTACTGAGAAGAAATAGGGAAAGATTTTGATCTTTGGGAAATAAAATTTATTGTCTCCATGATTTCATATCACTATTTTCATACATCCCAATCTCTGCATTTTATCATTATTGATTTCAATAATTAAGATTCATTTAAAAACAGTAATATCAATTCCTTCTTGGCCTTTTGGCTAAGATCAAGTGTAAAAACAGTAATATCATAACACAGCTGCTTAAAAAGACTTTGACTTCAGATAAAGGATCAACATTTTTATTAAAACTATCACTAAAAGGAATCTAATATAGTGAACTTACTTTTCTGACAGATGCTCTAGTTTTCATGTGATTGTTCCTGAAAGACTGGAAGGTCGCCATAACTATACTGCTGTTGTATGTAGTCAATGAAGAGTTAATCCACTAAAGACCTAAAGAAAAAATAGTAAAAGAAACTAATTTATTGATCTGAGTAATTCAGGCAAGCATTTTGTCCTAAAATAACTTCTTCAAATTCAGTCACTTAGAAAAATGAAAACATAAACAAAAATTCTCAGACATAAAAATGTATTCAACAGTCTAACATGAGTATTTGAATATTCATGAAAACTATGAATACTGGCACCTTAATGAGATAAAATTATTACAAAATGTTATTTTTAGGTTCAAAAACATTATATATTCAAAATTACCCATATCTAGTCAGTCTTAGTCCTTTTTAATTACAAATAGTATCTGAAAGCTTTAATAGGAAATATTTCAAAAACTTTCAAAAAACCTAGAACATAAAATTTCACAGAAAAAGCCTCAACCTTCTTGCCTCCTAAAAGTGACTCTATTCCTACAGCAACTGTAAATGCTTTAGACATTCTTATTTCTTGGGGAGAAAGGTTTAATAATATACAAATGAAAATATGAAATCTGTACATATCAAATAAAATCAGATAAAAACAAATCCCTTCTACAGGAATCTTAAGAGCATACCAATGAGAAGAATTCAAAAACATCAAATTCAAATGATTAATACCATAGTATTTAAAACACACACACACATACCCTCCTTGGTAGAAAATGCTAGAGCTATGTCACTTTTTATCAATGCTTTAATGAAACACCTTTGAGAGCGTAAATCAACTTGGGTATTAACCATTGAATACCCACATTTGACCACCGTAACCTGTCCCTTCATTCAAAATCTTGTGGACTCTGGGAGAAGGCGAGGGCGGGATGTTTCAAGAGAACAGCATCGAAACATGTATATTATCTAGGGTGAAACATATCACCAGCCCAGGTTGGGTGCATGAGACAAGTGCTCAGGCCTGGTGCACTGGGAAGACCCAGAGGGATCAGGTGGAGAGGGAGGTGGGAGGGGGGACCGGGATGGGGAATACATGTAAATCCATGGCTAATTCATTTCAATGTATGACAAAAACCACTGCAATGATGTAAAGTAATTAGCCTCCAACTAATAAAAATAAATGGAAAAAACAAAACAAAGCAAAATCTATGAGCACCAGACGCTATGGATACAGGTATAGAACAAGGCATATACAGCACTTCTGGGTCAGACCCTTACAAGGAAAATGCTTTATTACTATAAAGGGCAGGAGTGAGAACTGAATTCTAAATCCTTAATACTAAAAAAAATCTGAACAGAGATTGAAGACATGCCTAATCAGTTTCAATCAAATTGGTCTTATCAAGAATTACCTAGTTGAGGTTTTCAAGACATTTGGTTGACATTAATTTATACTATGAAGAGATTTATACACAAAATCAAACTTCAAATTAGTCCTCCACAGAACTGCAAAAAAAAAGAAAGAAAATCTAAATTATAGTGGAGTTCTAATTTTATATTCTTTCGCAACAAAGATAAAACTGAAGTTTCAGTGCTTGCACACACATGCACCTCACTTTAGGGATTCCTAGATTCTAATTTTTCACAGAGAATTATATTTTTTATTTATTTTTTATTTCTTGGGGGGGGGCCACACTTTTGGGGAGGATATCAACTCCCCAAATAGGGATCAAACCTATGCCCTCTGCAGTAGTAGCGCAGTCTTAACCACCAGACTGCCAGGGAAGTCCCAGAATTTAATTTTTTTAGACAAAGAATTTCTATTCTGAACTAAAATAAACTTCTATTCTACTCTGGTCTCTTTAACAATAAAACGTGATTAATGACTGGAATTGAAGCAGAGTTGTCAGAAAGACAAGGAATGTCCAGATAGCACAAGATAAAGAGTGATACACTGGATGCAGAAAAATAGCATTTGTACCCCCCTTGTGACTCTCATTAGCTCTGTTCCCTCTAGGCAAACTGCATTATCTCTGGATCTGTTTCCTCTATGTATATATCTGGGTGTATATGATGTATATTAACCTCAATGTATACTATCCTACTTCCTGGACAAGTTTATTGTAAGAATCAAATAGAAATTTATAAGAGGCACTTTAAAAACTATAAAACATAGGTAAAAGAAGAACTAAAATATTTACTTACAGACCAAAATGATTAAGAGGACCAAAATTCTCAAAATAAGGTATAAAGGTTTATGTAATCAAAGCAAAGAAATAATCCTTTTCTTCATCCCAGTCCAAGACACTCTCCCTTCCCTCACGTCCCCCACCCCAAGTTCTCTACAGCTACCAAAAACACTCAGAGACAAGTGGACTTGCCTCAAACTTCATATAAAACATAAAATATTAGAGGCCAACTCAAGGATGCCACAACAGTGAAACTCTAACTCAGCTCCTGAGTAAACTGGCACCACCCTTCTGGAGGGCAATTTTGTAATGCATGTCAAAACCCTGAAAACCCCCCTACACTCTGACACAGCCGCTCCACTTCTGGGAATTAATCAAAGGAAAGAATGTCTCTGGAGCAGCCAGGGTTCTAAGGAGAGCTTAAAACAAAACCAACAGCTGTGCTAAAAGACTTCCTTGCACATATCATTCAATCCTTAGGACCAGCAGAATCCAGTTCTACAGTGAGAAAAACAGAGGCGAAGAAAGTTAACCACTCACCAGGCCCACAGAGTGAGCAGTAGAGGGCCGAGACGCAAATCCAAATCTTCAAACTCTAGCACCCAGGCGCTTACCCTCCTCTCTACAGTGCACAGAGGCCTGAAAAGCTGTTCGTCGCACTTTGTGATAGCAGCAAGAACCACCCCAGATGTCAGAAACAGAAAGACTGAATGCCCGAGAGTGCCTTCCCGCCGTGGCATGTGGGCCATGGTACACAATGCGCAAGGACCGACAACCAGCGCGCAAAGCACCTTCCCAAGAGATGGAGCTGCTAAAGAGATGGGAGACAGCAATTACCTTTGCAGCTGCTGAATAAAGGCAACACAAGCAAAGACTAAACCTGAACTCAATGGCGGCGTCACCAAACATGAAACTGAACCATTACCTCACCAGAAGGTGCACAGGACAAGCCCCCGAGGCAAGAAGCAGTCACAAACAAGCCTTCGGGGAAGGCCAGGGGCCTCTGGTACATCCATATCTGACACCGTGTGCTACCCCAGCTCACTACCTGAAATAGTCCTGAATGGCAGACCTAAATAGGACACCCTTCTCAAAGCTGAGAACTAAACAATCCAGTCTGAACCTACAAAGAATCATTAACACACACACACACACGAGACATTGAAGGAAGAAAAAAAAAAACTCCAAACACACTCAAGCCACCCCAAACTCGCATTATCTAATTTTAGAATTCAAGAAACTAGTTTTAATCCCACATTTACACTCTGCTTCACTCACTGAAGAAAAATACTTGCTGAATCTTACTCTATTACTTCTGTGTTTCACTTAAAACATTAACCTTGCAGAGAAAAGAAATCTATCAGAGAATATCTATGAAACAGTCCATATAAGTGAATCCAGCATGAGATGGTATGACTCATACTTCTGATAAAGCAAAGAAACAAAAATCTCTTTAGAAAAGATACAAAGGCAGACAGACGGAGAAAGAGTAAGAGAGTAGGGTTCCTCACTATCTTTCATAATTACAGAAGATGTACTTTTAAACAGATTTCACAAAAGGTGCAAAAATACAGTATTTTCCCTTGAACATCTTTACGTTAGGATAATAAACTTTTCCCTTACTGCTTTTTTGTTTCTGTTCCATCTGGGTGAATAGACAAGTCCTAAACAGGAAATCACTAAGGGTTTTCCTCTAGAGTCAAATAAACTAATGTGAACGTGGACAATGTTTTACTAAGCAGCTCAAAGAAAAGAAAGCATAGATGGACAAGCCACACGACTGAAAAGTAAGCTGTGAGAGCTCAGGAAAGCCACAGGGTATAAAACACCACCATGAAATAAACGAAATCTTGTGAGAAGCGGAAAAAAGCTGAATAGATACTGCTGAAATGGAAACAACCAAGAAAGTTTTAAGAAATATCACAAAGGAAAAATAAATACCACAGAATGTAAAAGATAACAAATGAAGACTAGAAAAACGATTATAAAGAGCATAGAAAACAGGTATCGGACACTTGGAATAAACTGCACCTATCCTGATCCTGCGATTTCATTTCTTAAAATTTATCCTATATACAAACTTGCACAAAATTCATGAGGATATATGTGAAAGAATATCCACTAAGACAAAAAAGGATGAAAACTAAAAATAACCTAGAAGCCCAACAAGTCAAATAAATTATAATAAATTCATATGACTCTGCTGGAAAGAAAGCAATATATACTGACAACAGTAAAGCATGTTCACAATATATTAAGGGAAAAAATAAGCTACAGAACAACGTAAACAGTGTGCTCTCAGTGATTTTTTTAAAAAATCGTATACATATAATTTTAAAAAAAATTATATACATACAAAACTGACACTGCATGCTTCCCTCTTTTTGAGTTTTGAAGACAAAAGTGTTTTACTGTATTTGTATTCAAGCACAGTAAGCATTCAAACATCTGCTAAAAAAATAAAAAATTATTTTTAAAGTACAAAGTAGATCTTTAAATGTTGAAATGGATACCGCTACATTTAATGAATTATTTCTGAAACTATGTCTCCAATAATTTCGAATTTTATAATATTTGGGAACATATTTATAATAAATACTCCAAATACATATTTTGGCCAAATCCCAAACATCCAGTGTGAAAAATAAATATTCTGTTGAATATAAATACAACTAAATAGGACAAAATATGTGAAGCATTAATTTCAGACACTATCAGACAAGAGACAACACAAGACTTGATCTATGCAAGACTATGATCCAAGAGGTCATAACACAAGGAGACGCATGCCAAGCAGTATGGCAGTCTCACCGAATTGAAGAAACAGGGGCCAGAGTTTGGAAAGGCCAAGGTGCTTAGAATTTGCAGGGCAGAGTACTGGAGGAAGAGCTCAT